CCCCCCCCCCCAACCAACAACAAAAAAGCCGTGAGCTCAAATATAAAACCACAACCTGGAAATAAGCAGGTGCTAACCCAAATAAATATGTTTTGCATTGAAATGTACCACATTCGGGCTTCCGTGGCACCAGTAAATCCAGAGATGAAGGACAGGTCTACTACTGACCTAGATTTTTGTACCGGGGTATTAATTAATTATTGCAGGAGCAACAATTAATAAAAGCAGAGGAAAGAGAAATTAAGACTTACTGCACAGAAAAGAAAGTACGTTCAGATGCAATTTTTAAATCAGAGGAATAAGGGAGGCAGGCACACATGGAAATACTTAGCCAGAACCATAGGAACAGCGTGAGTGAATCCAACCCTCTGTCCATCTCATCTCAGGTCCCATCTCCGACAGTGGCAAACAACAGGTGCTTCAGAGGGAGGTTAAAGAAATATCCTGCTCCCAGTAACGACTGGCTAACCACTGAAACATAAGGTTTTAGATGTTTTTCAAAGCTTACGTTAGCACTAATTTTATAACTCTGTAGGACAGAAGCTGTTAAAGAAAAGGGTTAAAAAGCTGTTAAACCTCAAGTAGCTGTTAGACCTCAAGTAGCAAAACTGGGCCAGGGTGAGAGAAGGAAGAGTATAAGAGAGTAAGGGAGAAAAAAAATCCCTGAAACAGACTACAGCAAGCCCAAAGAGGGAATCAAAAGCGTATCTGTAACTTGAAACAAATTATAAGGAAGTGGACTTTTCTTGAGGATGAGTTGATGTGATGGCAGAAGCAAATGTTCCAGTAATTAAAATTTAAGATCACAAAGTGGTACTAGTCTTAACAAATTGTTGTACTATTTTTTCTACCCGTATTAGACTTTTAAAAAAAGCAAACTTAAGAAATACTGATGAAAGTAATGTGTAGCCTGAAAGAAAAAGAATATGCTAAATTTGTGCTGATAACATATCAGAAAAACAGATGTGAACTTCAAGTTTCCATGTCAATGTTTCTTTACTATCAGTGCAACAAAAACCTAGCAGAACTGTGGCTAAGCAACAGGGGTTACTGATTCTGATTAGTTGAGTGCAAGCTATGAATATTTAATATCTATTGCTCTTTCATAACAGCAGCATTTCTCCACTTTGTTGTTAAATACCCAGGTTAGGGGAAAAAATCCTTCTCCTTTTAATGGAAATCAGACAATGAATACAAAACAGTAGAAAGAGATAAGCTTCTCTATCACTATATTAGCACTGACTTCTAGGTGCATATAGAAGCTATAGGAAAGTGGTCATTTAAAATACTTGTGAAATATTTGCACAAGTTGTTAAGAAAAAAGGTAGACCCTTTCTTTCACTGTATCATTATGCAAACATAAAGAAATGTACAGACCCAAATATAGTCTAAATTTCCCTTTATACAACCATTTAAATGAAATGGTAGCTTCAGCACTACGGGCGCTTGTACACATGCAGGACGCCTGCTCTGATGTGTTCTAATTAGCATTCCTGCATTTCAGAATGGTGTCAGGTGCACTTTAACAAGGTTCACTGAATAAGATTTATTTAAAGTGCTCCCACCACTATTTTGAAGCATGGGACACTGAATACATGAGACGCTGTAGGCATTTTAATTAGAGCGGCACCTGAGAGCCACCCTAATTAAAATACCCCTTCCCCCCACCAAGGAGCACAAGTATAGATGCCCTATAGTGTTAATTGTAGAAGCTAATGTATTACCACATTCTGTGCAGAACATCAAAAGTAAACAGAGCACAGGTTTGTGGGTTTTTTGTGACATTATATATATATATATATATATATATATAAATAAAATATTCTCTCTCTCTCTCTCTCTCTCTATATATATATATGTAATATCCAGGAAGGGTAGGGTATAAGACATGAATTTCTAGTGAAGGAAAACTTAAAGACAACTCCATCACCATTCTCTGTAGTTCACACTTTCCTTCAGGCTTTATGTATGTCAAAGCAGCAAAAAAATTTATCAATATTTGTGACAGGGCCAACATTAGCAACATTTAAAGACTTGCATACAATTTATGGCTCTCATCTCTAGCTTGATGAAGCCAGGGTAGATTTGCACCTTAAAGACTAACCAATGTAGATATATATAGCACAGGCTTTCATGAGCTGAAGCTCACTTCACTGGATTCTGTGAAAGGGCATGCACAAAGCAGCAGATAAGCAGAAGGGAGGAATTAGAATGTAAAAGATAAGGAAGAGGGAGGAGAAGGGGAGAGGCAGGCAGTGCTGTGAGGCAAATAAACAAGCAGTAAACTAGTAGGAAGAAAGGAGTCATCAAAGCTTACCTAGGTAATGGGATAAGAGTCTATAGTCCCTGTTTTAAACCATACTTAACACAACCCAGTTTGTGAATGATTTCTTGTTCCACATTTCCTGTTCAAATTGGTTTTTAAGAACAGGCTGGTTTCTAAGAACAGCCACCCTCAAGTCAATGATCAACTGTCCAGGGAGGTTAGAACATTCTGCCAAAAGCCCGCGTGTCTTTCTGAAGCTAATGTCAGAGCGGTGATCATTAATTCTGTCATGTAGGGATCCTTTCACATCTGTGTGATGTAGATAGCAGAGGGACACTGTAAACAGGTGATTGCCTATATGATATTGGTGGAGTTGCAAGTGAATGAACCTTGGATGTTAAAATCTGTTATTTGGTCCAGTGATGATGTGGTCTGTATTGATGTTAGGGCACAGAAGGCATCTGGGTCCATTGCAAAGCCGGATGGCTTGATAAGATGGGAAGTTAGGTAGCCTGTTGCTTGGGAGATGCCATTTGAGGCTGGGGTGCTGCCTTTAAGCCAGGGCAAATGTGTCCCCCATGACAACTTTGACACATTTAGCTTCACTAGAAAGCTGGGAGCCTACAACTATAGTACTCAATTTAAGATTGAAACAACCCCACCCCCCAGCTTTATTGGAATGTACATTTATTTGTTATAGTATAATAAAAACACAACAAGCTTGGCAAAAAGAATAAAAAAATGGTGTTTCATTAGTCCTGTGGTCATTATAGTTAAATGTATGTCTCTTTCAGTTTCATAAAACAAAATCTAGCCTTCTTGAGCATCTTGATAGTGCATCCAATGCTTCATTGAATATTATTTCCACACCTGATCTATTGTTTACCTGAGTTAACATTTCCACACCTGAGTTAATGTTTCTTGCTAGAGTTAAGGACAGCCTGTAGGCCTGTGAAATGGGAGATACATTACTCGAACAGTTAACAGACAGCAGAATTAAGGATATTTTGCAGAGGGGAACTATTAAAGACTATGAAAAAGGAAAGAGGGAACCTATGATGAGTTTAAAAAGAATCAAGTAGATTATACTGAGCCATTAAGTCAACCAACTCTCTCACTGCTACCTGAATAGAAGCTTGGATGGACCATGAATCAAAGGGGGGTGCAACTGCACTACTGCACTCCACCTGGATCCATCCTTGTATGTGTCCACAGCAGTGCCATTCATTTATAGATATAGGGAATCCCCAAATCTGAAATAGTTGGGTATAAGGACAGGGGGAGAGAGTAATAAAAACAGAAGCAATTTTCTCACTGGGAATACAGGAAACCTTCGCCATTCACTGGGGATATGTTCTAGGGATCCCCATGAATGGGGAAATCCACAAATACGTCCATGAACGGCAGGGGGAGTGCAGCGGCGGCAAGTGCAGAGCTCCCACAGATGCTCAGTGGCGGGGGGTGGGAGAATGGCAAGAGCATGCGTGGGGAGAGAGCATGGGTTCAAATATTCATGCTGTCACTATTTGAAACTGCACATCACGAATGGCGAGAGTTGCCTGTAATGTTCTTTATAGCTCATAATCTGTCTTCACGGAGGATGTTAGTGTACAGAGACGTGACATCCATGGTATCTAATACTGTGTTAGGTGGAAGCTTGTCAACAGAAACAAGTTTCTTAAAAAAATCTCTGGCATGTTTCAAGCAGCTTGCAGCTCCAGTGGCACATGGAAATGGGGAAGAACCCACATAGTCAGAAACTTCGTCTGTGATGGTGCCAATGCCAGAGACAGGGGGCATCACTGGTGTGTGGATCTTGGTTAATAAGTAAAAAGTTGCCTGGCCTGGGCTCCCAGGAGCTGGAAACAGTAATCTTCTCCTGTGTTTCCCAAGGCAGATCCTGTAAGAGTGTATCCACTTCCTTCTGGTGTTGTGCTGTGGGGTTCTCTCAAGAGTCTGTAAAACCCCATGTTGGAAAGTTGTCTCTTGGCTCCCTGTTTTGACCATGAAAATAGTGGCACCCCACCTTATCAGCCTGTTGTATGGTAATATCCAAGTTGTTTTCAAGGCTGATTACAGCTCTCCATTTGAGCAAACTGAGATTGTAATGTAAATGTTGCTTCTCTACAATCTCAAAGTAGTCATGGAGGAAGAAACAGTTTATATACAGGTCCAGAGTAGGGCTGTATCCTTCAGGTACAGTCCAGGAGCTGTCTTTCTTGAGCTTTGTATGAGTCTGGTCTGCGTCCAGCTGATCTAGCTTGAAGACATAATCAGAATGTACAGGCAACCCCCACTTAATGCTCTTAATTGGTTCCGGAAAAAATGAGCGTTAAGCAGAACAGCGCTAAGCGAAACCCATTTCCCCATAGGAATTAATGTAAATAGAGATAATTAATTACTGCCACTTCTTACTGCAGCTTCTCAGCACCGCCACCTCTTCCCACCCCTCTGCCTGGCTGGCAGCCTCTCCGGCCCCATGTGCCAGCCCACACATGCCAGCTCTGCACTTCTGCAGCTTCACCCTGAGTCCCTGCCAGACCTGGCCCTGGGCACTGGCAGAGGCCCCGCACTCATGCCTGTCGTGTCCGCCCCCCACCCCCCCTCCCCAATTGGTGCTTCTCACTGCTGCTGCTTCTCCCCACCGCCCCTGTCCACTAGCCACTCTGGCACTGTGTGTCAGCCTGGGTCCCTGCTCCTGCTGCCCCACCCTGGGCCCCTGCTGGCCCTGGCCCTGTGGCACCAGTGCAGGCTCCATGCTCATTCCGACCCACCCACTTGCTGCCACTTATCACTTCTCGCTGCTGCCGCTTCTTTGCTGAGTGCTATAATGAAACTGGCTTAGCACTAAGTGAAATCAGGTATTAATTTTAAATGAGTGCTATAGCAAAACAGCGCTAAGTGAAACCATGTTAAGCAGGGGTTGCCTGTATAGTATTAAACAGAAGGCAATTTGTGCATGGCAGTCAAAGGTATGTTCAGCCCTTCTTTGGGAACAAAATGGGTTATTTTTCATACAAGTGTATTTCTAAGCAACCAGAATGACCATGCATTTGCTGCATGCATATGTACACGTGAGGGTGCATGCAGGCACATATATTTGCACAGGCAGGTGAAAGTTAATTCCTTGAAAACTTCTTACTGAAATAATTGCCTTGTAGTTAAAGAAAGAGTGAATGATCACTGGCAGTCTATTTGAGGTGGGAACTGTCTTCCGTATTTTGTGTGTAAACTGCATAACAGAATGGGGTGGGGCTTATAGGCAGTACTGAAATACAAATGATAAATAATAAGAGATAGATCAGTTACATTAATGTGTCACTGAACTCATTCATGCAGGCAACAGCTTGATTTTATTTGACACACAAAACTGCTTTTTTAAAATTGTTATTGAATAACATTAATCATGTGCATCTACACTTGTTCTATTCTTGATGCATCTAAATAATTTTAGCTGCCACTAAAATTGCACAAAGGTGCCACATGTTACATGCTTCTTATAGTTATTGGCAAAGTGTAAAAATAATTGTAAAGGTTTCTAGCAAAAACAGTAATACTTGAAAATCTTAAAGGCCATCTGTCACCACTACAGATAATAAAGAGTAAATCTGCCATCAAGGGCCTATACTAGTTAGCATTGCAAGTAGAAAGTATCAAGCTGTTTATACTCCTTTTAATCTTTCTGTTTCCCATCATAATATTAGTTAAAAAAAAAAAGGCTGCGGTCTAAATAGTGATGTGTCATATTCATCTCATCAAAACAGAAAATACATCCTGCCGTTCAGGAAAGAGGAGCATGTATTTCTATTCTAATGGTGAACAGTGAAGCCTCTGTTATCACTCAATATCAGCAGACACCTCCTGTCCCTCTAACACTGCCAAAAAGGAAGTGAATGGTTTACGAGTTTATACTGCGCATCATGGAAAAAACATGATGCACACAAGGGTTTGAGAAATAAAACATCTGAGAATGTTCACCAGCAGAGATAACAGGCTTTTACTGTCTTTTGTCACTACAACCACAATGAGATTCTCTCACACTGTATCAGTCATATAATTGTACACATTCACCCACTCAAATAATCTTGACTCTTAATGATGTTTTACATGCTAGAGAGCCATTATTATTATATGGAAAATTGTCTTTTCAGTGAAACTGCAAAAATTAATTCCTTTTGCCAGAAATGTCAGTTAGTTTCAGGAAATCTTAATTGGAACTTGGGATACATGTAAGTATAGATAATTACATTTATATAGTAAAGCTTGCTGTTCCTGTAAGTTGCAGATAATATGGGGCACAGTATCATGACTACCTCTCCCAGTCTGGGAAAATGCCTTAGAGCATATTATAAAGAGAATTAATAAGAAAAAAATGGATTAGCACCGGTTCTTAGTTACATCTCAGTCAGTTGTGACTTGAGGGTCACTGATGTCTTGCTAAAAAGTATAAGCTCTCTGTGTGTATAAATCTTCAGTCAGAAAATCCACTTAGCGCAAGTAAATGATCTAGTGTGTAATGTAAAAACAGTTTAATAAACAGAGGCTGAACAGTGGAACATTACTTAGGGCAGTAATAAAAAGAATCCTCCTTTTTTTTTTTTTTTTTAAAGAGGAATGAGTGAGTATTAGTATCTTGGTGTGCTGCTTAACAATCTATTTGCAGTGTCTGCAGTAATTAATAAATTATTTGCATTAATGGCATATATTTTCTTCAAGACAGAGGACAGAGTTCATAAAAAAGAAAAAAAAGTACAAAAAAATCCCCAACAAAGATATTTGGCATAAAATGCATTAATAGATCTCAACCTTCTGGTGAATATTTCAGACACTGTCTCTACAACTCAAAATAAACAACAGAAATCAAGGATGACTAATTTGCATGTACTCATATGTAAATTAGTATCTGGCCTTTTACATTTGTTCTTTTCAATAAGAAGGGAACCAGGTGGCAGCAGAGCTGCTTCTAGGTCCCTGCCAAGGAAAAGTTAATTTTTAGAAAGGCAAAAATGATTGGATCTGGAAGAGGGATTTGACATCATATATGTGCATGTGATATCAGACACCAATTCAAATCATTATCTGTACACCTAATAGTGAAGAGAAAAGAATATAACCCAGTAGTCAGCTTGTTTTGTTTAACATTTCTCAAAGGGAACCCTTATGTACTGATTAACATAGATTTTTTTTGGTAAAAGCTTAGGTATAAGGCATGGGTTAGCACTGTTGCTTTTTTTATCAAATATTTTGAAGAAGGTGATGAATATAATGAATCCCTTCTGCCTGCACTTAGTACATGTCTGGACACAAGAAACACTCTGTAAAAGGTGTTTCAAAGATGGGCTGGATCCAGCCTGAAGACCCCATCACCTGGGCCCCAAGTGCTGCCTGCAGTTCTCAGAATCAACACAAAGGCAACATGTGGGGCATAATGGATAGCCCCTGTGTGACACACGGCACCTGCCATGACCACTTTGGGACAGTGCTGCATGCAGCACCTGTTCCAGCTGCTCTATATCAGATCTGGCATTGTCTCCCAGAGGCAATGTGGCTCCTGATCAGGTGGATCAGGACCATGCTGCACATAGCATCCACACTAGCCACTCTTGGACACGCACTAGATCTGACACATGGGTCAATCTGGCCTGTGGACCAGACCCATGCCATTTATCTAACCCATGGGGATGGATGAATTTGACACACCTGGTCTATGCTAATAATTCTGAAAAGTAAGAAGTATATTTTGTATAAAGGGGTTAGTAAAACACCATGGACCAAGGAAGTCTGATGAGCTACACACAGAATTTATTTAGCCTGTTTTAGCCAACCTGTTTGGATTCCAAAACATGCTCTTTTAAAGTAACCTGTAAGGCATAACCTCATTTGGGATTATGTTTGCATTACTGTTACTTGCAATATAGCTGTGAATGCAAGGTGGTTATTCTTCAGATGAGGACAATTATGTTCATTGAGGTTCACTGAGGTTCTAAACTGTTCAGTTCACACAGAACCCAATCTTGCTCTGTGGACAACCTATACATGAATTAGTGAAGAATGAAAATAAATAAGGCCAGTGACAAAGGAACCAGGTTTAGCAGATAATGTGTTGATTTCACAACTTTTAAAAAATGTTATTTTCCAGTTTATCACCCATTTACTTGAACACTCTGATGAGAGAACTTGGATTTGTAGACATGTATACAAGTAGACTGTATATACTCTTTTAAGATATTCAGAATCACTTTTAGGATTATTTACATTTCCCAGAATCTATACTGATAATTTAAAAAGCAAACAAATAACATACTTACCGCAGCCCTTGCTCTGCTGAAAGCACGGAAATATTATCCATATTCTGTCAGCTTCTGATAGAGCCAGCTCACTCCCACTGCATTTTCTTGACAATCATTTACCTTCACTTTCCAGATATGCAGTCCCATATGCACAGTTGGTCAGCTGGTAAATGAACACCCTCTATTAGATAGTACCACATGCATTCTTACTTCCAGCTTCCCTGCCCCAACTGTCTAGCATACTGACCAGGCTCCTGTCCCCTTTATACTCATGTCTTACTGTCCCTATGTATTCATAAAGGAAATATTCTCCTCCTTTTTCCCCATCTAGATCTCAGATTGTTACAGATGCTACAGTCAACTGAGCATCCCCCAATCACTTGCCCAAGCTTCAAAAACACTGAGTCACAGAATCTGTTAGATTCTGATGTGGGAGGTTAGAGAATCATTCAATAATCGAGGTGCTTGGACCAGCAGAGTTCAATTCTTCAGTCTGCTGCAAACAGCCTGTGAGTAAGTGAGTTTGGGCAAATTATTAGTGTTTCCACTAAGGGTGGTGTAAGGACAAGTACACTAAAGATTGTGAGACACCCATCTCTGGCCTGTGTGATGAACCTACTCCGTCTAGGAGCAGCACTCAAATGTTCTGCACTGTTCCAGGCAGGCTGCCTCCCTAAATCAGAAACATGGCACATGAAGGCTGGGGGGTGCCCTAAACCTCATTCTCCCTAAACAGTGCTAACTAGTCCATCAAGAGCACTGAGCGGATACAGCTACACTGCTTTTTCTTTAGGAGGCAGTCTTTGTGCTTGTCATTTCTAAGTATGGTAAGTTTACTGTGTTGACTTGGTCTGAGATACTATTGTAATGATAGGAATCATTTAAATACCTACATAAACAGATGTGCTAGTATAAGATTAAGGATACCAAAAATGAATATGCTTGATTATGCTATGATAGCACTTCCCAGGAAATATTTATCCAACTCTCTATGGATCCTTAAATATTTACAATATCAAGAATTATTGGGTTGACTTTTGTATCATCTGGGTTACTAACGGCTGAATCCTCAAAACTAGGCAACTGCATAAAGAAGGGAGGGAAGGGAAGTTTAAGCCTTCAATAGGATAAAACACCTTATTTCTCTCCAACGGCTAAGGCAGTAAGTATCAAAAAGAGGCACTTGAAAACATCCTCACCCAAACTGAGCAAAGTAAAAGACCCCTGTAAACATTCCCTTACAATCAACTGAAAACCCTGTCAGAACCTCCAATCCAGCTTACCCAAAATAAAAAAATCATAATTGCAACAACTGACAGCTCCAGAAAAGAGAGGATTTACAATCTAAGGACACACATTGTTACAATCAGTTATATTCAAACCTAGGAGAAGTTTACACCAAGCAAGACACCCACTCCATCTTTAGAAAATAAAACAAAACATAAAACCAAAACTATACAACTGCAGCTAATTTTGTGAGCCAACAATCAGTTTCTACAAAATAAGAGTAGCAATTAGATTAGGCAGTCTTTCCTATTGTTCTCCTTTGTGTTGCATGTGTGTACTTGTAATCATAAAAGTGGAATGATTATTGTTAAGATAGACTTTATTTCTGAAACTAACTATGAGGTCTCATGGTTTTACTGTGCCAAAGATCACTATAATTTGTGGAGAAGCCTGGGTAAAATCTTGATTCTCACCCCAGGCTCCTCACAGCTCTGACGCTTGTGAAGAGATGAATGCTTTCAGTTCCCATTCATTTAAATGGGAAATGAGGGTGTTCTACATTTTGCTCAGCAGCTGAAGGGCCCAGAATGGAAGGCAGGGCAGCACCTCATTTCATTCAACCAAACCATCACTGCTAACTAAGGAAGGACACAGGGGTCTGGAACAGATATTGCATAAACTGGTTTGAGCCAAATCAGTTAGGTCCAATACTACATTCAACCAGGTTTATCTCAAACCAGTTTTGGCAATTTTGAAACTGGTTTACATGCACTGAATGTTACAGGTTTCAACCAGTTTCTGATCACTTAAACCAGTGTATGTGTAATGTCTGTCCCTAGCCTGGCAGGCTCCAGAGCTCTCTGTCTTAAAACAGTGAACAATGGGAGAGGGAAACTACAGTAATGAAGAGCGCCTCCTCAGTTCAAAATCTGTATAGAATATACATGGTAAGAAAACTCCATTTGTATACGTACATGCCCATGTTTGTGAGCCTAGAAGAATTCTATTAAACATGGGGGAGATGGGCTACGCTGCTGGTTTTCCTGCGGGCAGCACTAATGAGCCAAACAAAGGGGTGACCCTGACCAGTTCCAAAGTGACAGATAGAAGCCTGTTTGCAAGAATTTGTGAGAATGACAGAGTTTAAAACAGGCTTTTCCTGAAGCGAAACAGCTTGCAGCAGTTCTAATTACAGTATTTGTGCAATGAGGGTGGAAGGAACAAATCCTTTCATACACTGAGTAACCTGCTCATGCTTACATGAACTATTGCTTGGGAGGTAATAGCCCGGCACTGAGAAGTCATTCATCAACAGAGCATAGTGACATGTGTGCCAAGGCATAAACAGAATAGAAATGCACATTTCTCAAAAAAGTGAATACATGTGTGCATGTGAACACACACAAACACACAACAGAAAGTGCTCTTAGATGGAATCTGTAGGGAGCCTAGAGGACAAAAAGAAATAATAATAAACTTGGGCCTCTTCAACATATAATATTTGACTTTGCCTGGTTTTGTGGCTATGATACATACTACTAATAACACTGTAAATTTGGAATTAAAACTTACTTTACCACAGCGTGTTGCATTGATTACAAGGAATGCAAAAGGCAAGGATTTTTATTCAGGTCTCCTCACCTGAGAAAGGGTACTTCATACCCCAAAGCTTATCTGTATCCCACTCAACTATACAGCTGGTCCAACTAAAAGCTATCATCCACAAAAATCCTTGCCTCTCATATTTTTCCTGCATCGTTACAGCTACAATATCATTTCAATTTTACTTAATACACAGAGTATACTGATTAAAAGCAGTGAGGCCTTAACTACTAGCTTCAATTAAGTGGCATTTCTATTTCTGAACTGATAGTATATTAAGCAATTGTGTGGGCTGTAGTTTAACCAGAGGAACATATCCAAATGCAAATAGGAAGAATTTTCCTGAATGTATTTAAAAGGAAAGGTATCTACTTAGTTTAACTAGACACTAGAGGTCTCTCTTGCTCCATCCTTTATTCATTCACCCTTACTTTATTGGCAGAACTGAGGAAGGAGCCTGACTGAGACCAGATCACGACAATGCAGCATTACCATGTCACATACCTAATAGTTATGTGGGCTTCATAAAGCCTTTGAAGCACTGTGCAAACACTGCAAAAACAGTAAGCTTACACAAGCCTCACCGCAGTCTACCAATGAGCAAGTCAAACAACACACGAGCTTTACTGCAGATCCTGATCCACATCACACTGTTTAGGAAGCACTGCAAATATGGCTTTAAGCCAAACTTACACTTCTCCAGTTTTGGTGTGATACAATGACTGGGTCAGTTGCAAATAAATTTGAGCAGCAAGGAAGCTGACATAATTCATACTATATGATAACAGTTTTGAGGCCTATTCTATTACCTGAGGATCACTGGAACATAGGATATCCTTGTCCATCCTCTTGCCATAATGCTGGAGCAGTCAATCACCTGGGAGAGCTGTCATTTCCTACGGTGGCTCTCTGCCACCTGAGGATTTCCATCTACTGCTGGAGTCCCCTGGTGCCAACTAAATCAGCCCTAGGACAGAATTCAGAATGAGTACATTGTGGGTAAGAGCAGCACACCATCCAAGAGGCAAGCACCCAACAGCAGTTTTTATTTTTTAATTAGAAAAATAAAGATTTGGATAAAGCATCCTAGGCAGACATGAATGAAAAATCACTCCCTTAAGAGTTTCAAACAGAGGTTAAAAGGGCTCTTTTTGCAAACTGTTACTTTTAGGTTTAATACTTGCTAGTGCCAATTATCAAAGCAAATGTAAATATACCATTGAGTACAGCACTATGGTCCATGCTCCCGGGCATAAAGGAAGCACACAAAACCAAGCAGGAACACTGTACTAAGAAACAAGCAACAGACAGGCTAAGAAGTTACAAAAAACCTCCAGTGGTTTGAAATTGGTGATCAAGACTGCAGGGACGCTCATTCAGGCAAAAAATGAGGCACCTAACCAGCAGTCTCAGCACAAGCCTCTATGGGCAGATCCAGAATTTTGAAAAAAGGGGCACACGTGGTAAGGTTCATCGTCCTATATAACGCAACACATACTTTTCTCCAGGTAAAAAGAAACTAGAAGCCTTCCTAATATGCTAGGGCCACATGACTGTTTAAGATTGATGCAAAGGCAAAGGTAACATTAGAATGAGTTAAAAACAGTCTGCAGGGCTGTGAAATAGGAGCTACATTACCAGGACTGCAGAATGGCAGAAGAAAGGCTAGCTTGATTAGTGGACCATTAAAACGGAGTGAAGGTTGTTAGCGCCCATTGAATGAATGGTTTTGAAGGATTTGGGTGGGTTATAGCGAGCCACAAATGCACCGCCACAGCACTGCATGAAGAGAAATGCTGCTGCTGCTGCCCAGCAGCTGAGTGTTACACTTTCGGTGGAGCAGGAAACTGCATCTGTGCACCCCCCTGGGTCCACCTTGCAGGTCCCCTAGTGTCCCTAGCAGCAGCAGCTGTAGGGCTGTGCCACGCAACCTAGCAGCAGCGGCTCTATGGCTGTGCTACACGGCCTAGAAGCAGCAGCCCTAGTGCTGCACTGTGACGGTAGCCGCTGTGTGGCTGACCTGTGGGCCTGGTGTGGCCTGGCTGCCTACCACACTGCAGTCAGTGGGTCTGGATGAGTCATCCCCCCACCTCCTTTCAGAGGCAAAGGTACCGTATTTCTTCACCTCCCACACACACCTAAGCATACAGTGGATAGGACCTAACCTGGCCAACTTAGCTCATTTATAGGATTGAGTTGCACACACCTATAAGATAGGTATCCTATAAATTTAATTTATCCTCCTCTTACCTATTCAAAACACACTCCTTTGCCCCAAAGCAGCAGCTTAGAAACAGGCCTGAATTTAAACGCCAAGGGCAGGTGCTTTGGGCTGAAACCAACAGGAATAGGCTGCCATCCTGGGGAGGGGTAGAACAAGGGGCAGGGCGGGCTCCCTGGCTGCTGCTCACTGCAAAGAAATAGCTTTTCCCTCCCTCCTGCCTGTCAGAAACAAACTGTGCGTGGTCTCGCGGAGCTCGTGTATGCCCGTAATTACGGTACCCAGCCCACAGGCCGTGCCAGGTCGAGCCCTGCCTGCACCTACCCCGCAGAGGGGCTGAGCACGTGACATTCCCCCCCCCGCCCGAGCCGTTGGCCCGGCGGTTGACTGTTCGGTGACGCAGCGCAACACGTGACACCCTTGGGACGCCACCGCCCGCGTACGCAGGGGCGGGGCCACACTCGAGACAGCGCCCCCTCTCCAGGCTTCAGTGCGAGCCTGCTTGGCCAATCAAGCAAAGAGCCGGAGCGCACGTCAGCGCCAGTGGCTGACTCCCTTCGTTCATTGGCTGTTCCTCCACAGGGCCCCGCCCCCCCCCGCGGGGACCGGTCACTCAGTCCCTCCCCTCCGCGAGTTGCCGGGTGTTTGTGCTGGGCGAGCGCGGCGCTGGCCAGGGGCGCGTTGCGCAGGCGCGGTGGGGCGGTGGCGCAACCGCGACGAGGGGTAGCAGCTGGGGCGCCGCGGACCACAG